GAACCAGGTTCCCGCTGAGCAAGGAGCCTGATATGGGACTCGATCCCAGGACGCTGGGATCATGACCTTAGCTGAAGGCAGACGCTCAACCCACTGAGCCACCCAGGCGCCCCTCCACTAAGAGTATTAATGAAGAATTCTTTGAGACTGGTGAGCCTCTCTCCATGGATAGTATGGACTAGAAAGCGTCTTGCTGAGGGGGAGGACACCTGATGAGAGATGCTTGGCCAATGGGTCCCCCATCACTCGCCTGGGGAACCTCAGGTCTCTGCCTGGTGCAGTTCCTGCCCCCGGGCACCTGAGCCACAGCCTTCCTCATCGCCCTGGATGATCACATCGATGTCAGCGCTGCAGAATCACCACGGTTTGGCCACTGTGGATTGTGCTAAATTCAAGTGGCTCCTGAATGAAATGGGGCTTGAGTATAAGTCCTGAAAAAGGTTGCTCAGTGAACAGCACAAGTAGCTAGGAAAGGCGCTTAGGAACTGGGCAGAAAATCCCAGGGCCGATTTTGCAAAACCATCCGGCTGCCATGGACAGAAGTGGTTGGGAGTGCAGAGGAGCTGCTGGGCCTGGGGTGGGGGGTGGGGGTCTTGCTGAAAGCATCTGACGTGAGGGCACATGGCCGGCCGTGCGGCCTGAGATGCTCGGATGCTGCCTCCCCACTCTGGGCCCGGCCCCCGAGGTACCATGGAGACGGGCATACGCCGCCTGTCAGCAACCGCGGTTGCTGTTGGCCTGCAGGGGGGTGACCAGGAAGGAGTGGGGCTTCCCACACGGCCTGAAGGGAAGGCCAGGAGGCCTGGCCCAAGCTCTGCTCTCATTCTTTTGTCTGTTTAACAGGTGGAGGAACACCAGCAGTAACTGGACTTCCAAGGACAAGTTTTACTGACAGGCAGGAGGCATGTGGAAAGATCTTTAAGGAAAAGCAGGCCTTTCTGAATAGTGGTGAAGTGAAAGTGGAGAAAACTCTATCAGGGGGTGTGGGAGGCCTCTTACCGCCTCTGCCTGAGGCCATGCCCAGAGCAGCCTTCACCTCATGGAGCCCCACCTGCACAGACACCTCACACGGCCTGCGGGAGATCTGGGCTACGCTGAGCTTTCTGGCCTGTAAGGACCATGGCAAGACTGTGGCTTCCCCCCACCCCGGTTCTTCTGGATCCATCCAGGCTCCTCTTCCTGGCTGGTGGGACTACACCGTACATATTTACCATGGTTTGCTTCTCTGTCCATTCACCTGTCAACCCATTTGGGTTGTTTCTGGTTTGGCACTCTTAGGAATAAAGCCACTATGAGCATCCATGCGAAGGAAAAAAAAAAGCCAATCCCAGAACATTCAGGGCCCTAAATTTACATCAAAGGGACCGACCCTGAGAGTGTATGCGTCCTTCTGGTAAAGGGCAACCTTGGTTCCACACAGAGGGTCCTCCTTGTAGAGCACCTGCCTGTACTGTGGGACAGCCGCAGGCACAGTGCTCTGCCCACTCTGCAGCTCATCCTGGAAGCTCAGGGAGATCGGATTGAGCCTTTCCAGCAAGGGGTTCACACAGCTCTTGGAAGATGGCAGGGCCCCTGCACACCTGGGTCTCGCGGCACAGCCAGCCCCCAACACTGGGTCAGGTCTGAGGAATGACTCAGCCCTGGGAACATGACAAGAACCATCTGAGGCTTTGCAAACAGGAAGTACCCTCCCCAGGCTGGGTGTCCGAGTGGGGCCCCTGTTTCTTCTTACGCCCTGGGGAGTTTGAGACTGGTCGGGTCTGTGGTGATTTGCTAATGCCTCAGATCCTGCTGATGGAGGCCATGTTGTGCAAAACTGTGGGCCCCACAGCGGGCACAGAAGAGGGCCCCACTGTTTCACACAGTAGTGTTTCTAGGAAGTTGGTGCCGCTGCAATTCCAGGGGTCTCGGCTGAGCAGATCCAAATCCTGGCCACCAGTCTTTCCACAGGACATCCAGAAGGCCTGCGTGGCCTTGGAAACTGCTTGCCTTAGCCACACAGCCCCATCAGGCACACAGGACTAGTAAGGCTTTGCCGGCCCAATTTGGCCCCCCATACACCACGATTTGGCCACAAGATGTCCCTGAGATACTGCTCACCAGCGCATGACCTCTGTAAGGAGTCAGTCACCTGCGATCCTCCACGCATCTCTGCTTGTGCCTTCAACATGAAGGTGAGGGCCGGGTATGGACTCTGGGTCCGCGTCTGCCAACACCACCTCCCTACCATCTCCAGGGGCAAGGCGCCCGTAGTCTCACCTCAGACATTCTGGAACCATCTCTGGGTTTAATAAACCTCACGCCGACTTGCAGTGCCCTGTCCCTTTGTCTGGAACACACACTTCTGTGGCTGTTTTTGTAAATGCGGTGATTCTACCAGAGGGCGAGTCACCAAGATTCTTGATGAGCTGATGACACAGGCCTACGCAGGGGTGGGGGCACCACTTTCTCAGCCATCGGTTTCGAAGCCTCTCGAGGCGGTAGCAGCCCCGCGCCCAGCGCCTCGGAGTCAGAGCTGAGGCAGGGGGCTGGCACCCCCACAGGGGCCTCCCAGCCTCGGCAGTGAGTTGTGGCAGGGCTGCTGGAAGGGTGTGCAAAGTAACTGAGGAGACTCACATCTCCCCTCCCGCCCCACAGGCAGACAGGTGTGCCCCTCCCCCTCCGTGACCTCCTGCGGCGCAGCACACTCTCCAGAAAGTGCTCTCGAGCACTGGATGTTGTCACCACTCACTCTGTGCTCACAGCTGTGCTCTAACAAGGAGGCCAGGGACGCCTGGAGACTCTTCGGACCATTCTTTGCCGTTGGGCACCAGCCCATGGCTGCCCGGCCACAGATGGGATTTGCAGAGGCTCACCTTCCAAAATGAGCCCCCACAACCAGCACCCCAACTGCGTTTGGTGGGGTCAGCAGAGAGAAGAGGGAGATGAGAAAAGGCACTGAGCCAACTACAGCTGGGTTCCAGAACACCCTCAGCACACGGCCTCTTGGGGGAGCCATGCGGGGCTCTGGCTTGGTGAGGCCCCTCTTCACTGTCTCTGACCCTACAGCCTCCCTGTGAGGAGCACCCCAAATGTGGCCGACTTGGCAGTTTTCCTCACGTCCATGAGGTTCAAGTGCCTGCAGCCTAAACAAAGCCCTTCCTTCTGACATTTGTCGTGCGCAGATCCTTCTGGATGTGTCCTCCCAATATCCAGTTACGTGGCCACAGGATACTCGGGGGCCAGCGTGGCCCCTCCCAGGGGTGCTGGAGGACACTCGCCAGCACCTCCAGCCAATGGGGTCCATGTGGGTAGTAGGCCAGTCCCCAGGATGGGCCTTCCAGGAATTCCAACGGTATACCATCCCCTAGGGAGTGGCCATGTCCCTGGGGAGGCTGGGCAGAAGATCAGCAGTATAGGTTTTCTGCCGTGTGGTGGAATCTTTCCTCAAGGGGCCTGGGCGGTGACTGAAGGGGTTGTGACTCTATTTTGGTGGCCCTGGTCACATATCTGTTGGCTCAATCCAGAACGCTTCCGCTCAAGCTAAACCTGATCAGGCTGTCACCTCTACTCCTAGGGCCCCAAGGCCACCAGCCCACGCCCGCATCTCTGCCAGTCTGGCTGCTGGTGGCTGTGGCTGCTCACCACCCAACCACGTCTACTCCGTCTTGGGCAGTTAAGGCCACTGCTAGGCCTTGCCACTCGGAGACCCAGTGACTCCACTGCGTTTCGAGATCCTCGTTCCATGGCAGCGGCTCCAGCCGACCTGCAGAGAGGAGAAACCACAGAGCTCTTCAAGGATGCCGGGCTCCCCTTGCAGATGTACTCCTCAAGGTCACGGGGAAAGGCTTTTGTGGAGGGTTGGCAGTGCTCATGTGTTGAGTCCCCCTCAAATACCACAATCCCCCCGACCCCGCGGCTCACTCTCTCTGTAGCACACTGAGGTGGCTCTGGCAGTTAACTGTCCTCAGCGAACTCGCCCTGTGGTCCAGGTTTCAACCAAGCAACCATACCCTAGGGCCCTTTCTTAGTCCTTGGGCTGCAGCAAGCCCAGACCCTCTGTGAGTGGTCCTGTTTCCATGGATCTGGCTTCATGCGTTTCATATCCCCGCCACCTGGATCCCACACGTGTTCTCCAGATTTCTATCTGCATGAAGTTCTTCTGGAGCGTAGCCACCTCATCACGGGCCACACTTCGTACCTCACCCTTTGGGGCCTCCTGGGGCCTGAGTCTAGTTATAAGCAAAGCCAGTGTGGGGGGAGGTGGTCAGGAGTGTCCCACAGGGACCCCACCCCCGGGGGAGCCATTCCGGTCCTTCAGGTAAAGGAAGACTGACCTCTTCAGGCAGAGATGGAAGGGGGCTCTTCTGGCAAAAAAAGCAGCGGAACAAAGGGGTTGGAGGCCCCCCAGCTTCCTCAGTGACTGCCCACAGCCCCCACCCCAATTTCCAGGGTCCTATTCCTTCCCAACCAACAGCCAAGCTTTAAAAGATGCCCTGACAGCCGGGCCCGGTAAGGAGACTCTGGACACACGAGCTGCTTTGGCTGTTTATCCCGTTGCCCCGGGTGCACAGTGCTGGCTCTGTGTCATTGGTGGCCGTGTTGGCCGCACTTAATTCTGCCATACTTTCCACCCACGGCACCTTGCCGTCTTTGGTCTTTCTCTTTTGGGGGCGGTGCTTCCTCCCACAGATCCCGCGCTTGGCCTGCCCATGAGCCACGAGGTCTCTCTGCCTCTGCCCTCACCCACAGCCCACCCTCCTCCTGCCTTGCTTCCCCAAGGGGTCTGGTCACTTCTTTCTACTGGTTCTGGCTTCAGCCCTGAGCATTGGGAGCTCCTGGCCAGCCTCAGGGTGACTAGCCAATGGAGTCCGCAGGACCTGGGGGCCACATTCACTGTCCCCCAGTGGACAGGGGTCAATTGCCCTGCCCAACAGAAGGTCTGAGGAGAGCTCTCAGAGCTGACCCGAAGGGGGAATCCAGGGTGTCACCTTGGAGAATCTGTACCTTGAGCCTGGGGGTTTGCATCTAGAGGTTTATTGTAAAGCAGGCCCAGGTTGGCCTCTCACCTGGGCCACAGCTGCCCAGGGGTCTGGCCCAGTTACTCTTGTAAGCTGTAGAGTCACTGTCGTACAGGTGCTGTATTTCACAAAAGGAAACACGCACCTTGGGCGGAAAACAAAGACTCCACAGACCAAGTACCTCTTGTAGCTGGAGGAGGGGAACTGCGGCTGGCTGTTGCAGGGGTCCTGAGGTTCCACATGCCTGGGTCAGGCCACAGCATGGGCGCCCACCTCCCTGCCCTCTGCATGGCCCAACAAGGGAGCAGACATGTCACTGTGGGTCGGGTAGAGGGACCAGACGCTGATCCGCTGATCCCCAGATCCTGCGGCCAGCAAGCCATCTGCGGCAAAGGCCACACAGTGGACGGTGGCACTGTGGAAGGATAGTACGGCCAGTGGCTTCATCGTCCGCCAGTGAAACACTCGGACCCGGTGGTCCCAGCCCGCAGTGGCCAGGATCTTGCGGTCTGGCCGGATCTTGACATCAGCGATCCCAGGATTCGTAAGTTCATGAGTTCTGCACACCTAGAAGACCAAGAGCAGCAAATAGAACCACGAAGTGGCTTTTAAGACTTGTCCCAGGGGCTCCCACCTGTGGGCAGCCCTGGTGTGGCAGGCAGAACAAGGAGGGAAATGCAGGCTGCCAAGATGCCAAAAGCTCCTGCAAACTTACCGCCTACATCCCAGGAGCCAGGCACAGACCCACTGAGGGGAGCAGCCTAACTGCTGCCCTTGGCCGAGCCCTTGCATAAGACATCAGGCCCTTCCCTCAGAGAGCCCCTGAGGTCCCGCAGAGCTGTTCCGCTACACAAGGCCTGAGAGGAACTCAAGGGCTGCTCTATTTCTCTGCCTGTCAAGCCTTCAGGAAAGACCTCAGTGGGCTGGGTCCTAGGTTTCCTCATCACAGAAATACACTGCACTCTGGCGTCCAAGCAAGATGCATCTCCAGCTTGAGAGCAGCATAAACTCATGCCTACCGACAGCATGAGGAGAATGAGAGACACCAAGTCCATCTTCAGCAACAGGGCTGACAAGCCACCAAGCAGAGAGCCAGTGGGCACAGGCAGGACCTTGGCGGGGGGGGGGGGGGGACAACAGTGAAGGTGCAGAATGCAGGAGCTCCTGCAGGGCCTGCCACACTGGTCATGGCCAAAACCTTAGTCCCTAGCTTGGTTTTGAGTGGAGGGCAGGCAAAACAAAACATGGATGTACACAGGCATGTTCTATCTGCACGGAGACACTGGGAGCCAACCTCTTTCTGGACACTGAGTGCTCCCATAGTCAGTGCTGGGTGATGACCCCTTACCAACACGTGCCTCCCTGCAGCAGGCAGGGAATCAGAGCTGCCTTTGTGGTCACAGCTATTCGTGGTTACATGGCACTGTCTCATGCATTGCAATCTGGCATCTCCATTGCGTCCATTGCGATGGACACTAAATGACAAAGGCACTTTGCCGTCATTGTGACAATACACAGTAGCCACTTCCTTCTACTGATTCCGAGTGTACCACAAGCTCTTATTGACCTGAAGTTGCCTTTGCTGTCCCTTACCAGCACACCGTTTTCTCCTAGTTCACTTCCCCATGGGGCCATGGTGGATTTGGTTAAGAATCACTCACCTATGCAAAGATAACACATGGGAAAAGGAAGAAACACAGAAAAGCCATTTGCGATATTCCTTGGAAGCAACAGAAATTGTCACCAAGAATTTCTTTTACCATGATTTAATAAAATAAAACCTCATGAAGCAGTTATCTCCATAAAACAAGAACATGAAGCAAAACACAGAGGAGGAAAACTGAACTGACAGAGCTCAGGTAAGAAGAGGAAGACCTCAAAGAAATGGAGGGGAACGGGAAATGGCAGGAGACTGGAACAAGACAGTAAGAACAGGAATGATACAAAGCGAGCAAAGTGAAAGGGAAAACAAAGAGTTACAATGGACTGGAGAGAAAACAGCAGACATGGAAGAAAGGCAGAGGCGCTCTAACATTCAGTGATTTAGAAAATCAATTGTAATTTCTAGAAAAACTGAAGCCTTATGGTCCAGATCCAAAGACAGGCTACAGGATGGTCAATTTTAAGATACACCTTAGGAAAATCACTGGACTTGACAGCTTAAAAAGTCCTTTTGGTAGTCAGAAAAAGAGCATGTCAATTGTGAGGTAGTGTTCGGCTGTCCTCAAAATGTTCCACAGCCACATCTGTGGCAGAAGACAGCAGAGGCTGCAAAGGCAGGCATGGTTCAAGAATTTTATATCCAGCCAAACTGCTGCTCAAGTATAAAAACAATGGACAAGCATTTTTGAACATGTAAGAACTTAAAGAATTTGCTCCCGTAAGCTCTTCTTGAAGGACTGGAAGATTAACTCCAGTGTCACGAGAGATAACCAGAGAACTTTAGTAGATCATCTGCCAAAAGCAAGGAATCTACTTACCAGTGGGATTAGGTCTAAAACAATACATGGATTATGGCTACAGAACCAGTTATGTAAATAACCAAAATATGGGAGCATAGTGAGATGGGCTGTTCGTTAAATTCACTGCTTTGCTCATCTTTTGTCATTTGGGGCATAACATACAATAGTCAACCTCATACTTGAGAGATTATCTGACAATCCACTGTGAGTAATGACAAAAACAACATGACTTTCTTCCCCAACCCTGACACTAGATGCCATGTTTTCCTAGTATCTGCCCTTGTATTTTTCCATAAATATACTCAATAGATTTATAATTAGATTCCAAAGTTAAATCCAGATCTGTGCTACATGTAAGAGAGACACAGAAAGATTGACTGGCAAAGATGTACCAGAAGAGTGCGGACAACAGAGACAGGAGTCCAGTGTCAGTAACAGGAGACACTGAATTCAGAGGAAAAAGCGAGAAGATAGACATTGGTAAGTATGGTAATACTTACCAATGACAAAGGGTATAATTTGCAATGAAGAGCTATGACTCTCGGTTCTAGAGACAAACGGGCATATCATTCATGAACCAAGAGCAACAGGAATGTGGCTATGATGGAGTAACTGGTACCAGACCAGTCCTCATGCTATAGACCACCATCAAACTGGACAAAAGATACCAAGCAACCTCATGTGGGTGGGCTGTGGACAGCAGGAGGGGAGGGGCAGCTGATGGGGTGAGCCTCACAAACACTCTGGCAGCAACCTGCCCAGGGACATGTCCCAGCCATGAAATCTAGGTGTGCACAGAGGCCACATGAAGCTGAAGAGGCAGAGACCAGAGTGTGGAGGCAGCTGGAGTCGCTAGATTTGTGGGGTGAGCCAGAAGCATGGAGGGAACTGGGGGAGGGACTGAAAGCCACATCTGGGCTCCCCATCAGTCCTTGTGTGAGAGCTGGGCTGTGCGTGCTCAGGACACCACATGAGGTTTACCAGACAGGGACTACAACAGGGTGAGATGGAACAGATACAGGAGATCAGCTGTGACCCTGGGTCCAGCCGGCCCAAGCCAATATACCACCTGACAACCCAGCACTGGCTGGGATGCCACAGTGGTCTTACTTCAGGAATAAGGGTCACATGTTCGGGTAGGGCCCACAATGAAACAATGCTAGAGACAGAGCTCTCTGTGACCTGAAGGAGAGGCAGAGTTCAGAAGGTGAGCCCTACCACATCAGAGGAGCCTGGGAAGGACCCTGGGCTTTCCACGTATCTGCCCTGACAGAGCATAAAGCCAAGCTGCCACAAGTTCAAGGTGAACAGCCAGTAAATGAACTACCTGCCTGTAAGAACAAAAGTAAATATCCTTCAGAGCAAAAGATTAGAGTGCGGAGTCTCCACCACATATCACTTACAGTGTTGAGCACACAAACAGAAAAATTATTAGACACGCAAAGAAGCAGGAATATATGACCCACAGTCAACTGGAAAAAAAAAAAAAAAGCGGTTTATAGAAACTGGCCCAGAATGGCACAGATGTTGAACATATCAGACAAAAACTTTAAAGCAGCTATTTAAGTATGTTCCAAAAAAAAAAAAAAATGAAAGAAAACGCATTCAAGTAATTATAAAGAACAATTTCCCTGATGAGTGAATGGACAGGAATTATTAGCAGAAAAATGGAGATTACAGAAAAGAACCAACTCAGAACAGCCAACATATTATGTTAAAGGAGAAGAACAAAGTCAGAGGCCTGACGCTACCTGACTTCAGGACTTACTATAAAGCTGTAGTGGTCAAGACAGTGTGGTACTGATGAAAGAAGAGACAGATCAAAGAAGCAGCACAGAGAGCCCAGAAACAGACCCACATAAACAGAGTCAAGTCATCTTGGACAAAGGAGCAGAAGAAACATAACGAAGGGAAAGATACTCTTTTTAACAAGCAGTGCAGGAAACCTGGACATCCACGTGCAAAAATAGGAGTCCAGACAAAGACCTCACTCTTCTAATTCACAAAAAGTAACTTGAAATGAATCATAGACCTGAATATAAAACACACTATTAAAACCATAAAAGATAACAAAGGACAAAAACCTGATGACCTTGGGCTTGGCAATGACATTTTATTTTATTTTATTTTATTTTATTTTATTTTATTTTTTAAATATTTTATTTATTTATTTGACAGACAGAGATCACAAGTAGGCAGAGAGGCAGGCAGAGAGAGAGAGGAGGAAGCAGGCTCCCTGCGGAGCAGAGAGCCTGATGCGGGGCTCGATCCCAGAACCCTGGGATCATGACCTGAGCTGAAGGCAGAGGCTTTAACCCACTGAGCCACCCAGGCGCCCCAATGACATTTTATTTTAGTTTTGGGGTTTTTTTTTTAGTTTTTTTATTTTTATTTTTATTTTTTTTAAAGATTTTTATTTATTTATTTGAGAGAGAGAGTGAGAGAAAGAGAGCATGAGAGGGGAGAAGGTCAGAGGGACAAGCAGACTCCCCATGGAGCTGAGAGCCCAATGCGGGACTCGATCCCGGGACTCCGGGATCATGACCTGAGCCGAAGGCAGTTGCTTAACCAACTGAGCCACCCAGGCACCCCAGTTTTTTTTTTTTTTTTAAGATTTTATTTATTTTTGTGTGTGTGTGAGAGAGACAGCATGTTACCTTTGAGCAGGAGCAGTGGGATGGGCAGAGGGAGAAGCAGACTCCTCACTGAGCAGGGAGCCTGATGCAGGACTCGATCCCAGGACCCCGGGATCATGACCTAAGCTGAAGTCAGATGCGTAATCGACTGAGCCACTCAGAGGTCCAGCAATGACATTTTAGACACAATACCAAAGGCACGATCCATGAAAGAAAGAACCGATAAGCGAAGCTTCACTAAAATTACAATTTTCTGCTCTGTGAAAGATATTGGCAAGATAATGAAAAGACAAGCCACAGAACAGGAGAAAATGTCTGCAGAAGACACATCTGATCAAGGACTATTAACACAAATGTACAAAGAACCCTTAAGATTCAACAATAAGAAAACAAACGACCTGACTAAAAAATGGGCAAAAGACCTTAACACATACTTCTCCAAAGAAGATCAACACGTGGCAGTAAGCAC